GGCTCAAACTCACAAACCGCGAGATCGTGACCTGAGCAGAAATCAAGAGTCAAACGCCTAACCGACTGAGCCACCCTGGGAGTTTTTAACTGAATATTACGCTGCCTCCTACTGCTCCGTTATCTTGACTACGCGGTGGCTTATTCACACTCTCCTGCTGGTCGCTGTCTCCGTGGTCGTCAGGCTCTTGCCACATGGGCACCGTAGCCTCAAACAGTCCTGTAAATGTCCCTGGCGTCCACGTGCAAGTGGTCCTCTTGGGGACGGACCTACGAGGGAGCTGATACATGTATACAGTTTCTATATATTCTTGGTAATAACCATTTGACAGTATGTGTTGTGACTATCTCTTGGTGAGTGGCTGGGACTTCCACTTTCATTAAGGCGTCTTTTGATCTGGTGAATTTATCTGAAAACCAGGAACAGCACCGCCCTTCTCCGTCTTCCTCTCTCCTCTCTCGCCCTGTCACCCACCTTCCCACTGTGGCCACTGCAATCTTTTTAAAATTGCACACGGGATCACATCACTGCCCTACTTAGCACCGGGAAACAGTTTCCCTCTTCTCACTAAGTTGGAAATCAAATCCTGACCGTAGCCTGCAAAGCCTTGGCCTTGCTAGGCCTTGGCCCCAGCTACCCTCCCCAAGTTCAGCTCCAAGGACTCATTCATGCCTCAGTTTCTGTTTTCCTGCCGCATTGGCCTCCTTCCATTCCCCACGGGGCTGGGGCGAGGGGCAGATGGCCTCACACCTTGGTGCTTTTGCACGGAATGTTCTTTCTTCCTCCTTCATCTAGACCTTTTCGCTCCCCAACGGGCTCAAGCCAGCCAGGTCCCCCCCCCCCCCCCCTCGGCCGTCGTTAGGGATAGGTTCCATAGCATCTTGAATGTCACTAAATCGCTGAAGGTGTTTTATCCTGTCTCACCCCAGAGAACGCAAGCTCCATGAGGGCAGGGGCCGAACTCTCTTGTTCTTCACGAATCCCCAGCGCCCAGGGCAGAGCAGGGATTATGCAAACACCTGCTGAGTCCGTGAGAAGAGGGGTGCCCTGTGGGCGGGGCTCCATTACATAGCTGCCTCTCTTCCTCTCTCCCTCTGCTTCTGGGAGGTGACGGTCAACTTCAAGGAGAGCTTCTCACTTATCAGGCCCTACGTGCCTCCTGCCCAGCGGTCGCTCTTTAGGCCAGGTCTACGCCAAGTCTGCTGAGATCCCGTGATCAAAGTTGGTGAACACGGCAAAGCCTCATGGGAGCCAGGGTTCCTCATCATCTACGCTGACTCGTTTGAGGTCACAGAATCACCAGGTGTTAGAGGGCACCTGGAGGTGGGCCGGCCCAAGTCCTCCTGAGGCAGCCTCGTCCTTTGTCCACAGCCACCGCGTGGCTGGGACCCCGAGCTCCGGCCGGGCTCTCTCTCCACAGCCACCGCCCCCTGGACTTTACATTGAGGGCACATCGTCAGTTTTCAACTGGACCACTCGCAGCTTTTACGACCCCTTTCCTATTATGTGTTCCAGAAAGATAAAGGCATTAGTCTCCCTGCAGTTAAAGAGAATCTTCACATCGTGTTATTGTTCTCAGTTCAGCCTCAGTTCGTCACAGGCTTAAGTGAAGGGCTTTAATGTCATCGGCTGCGGTAAGCCCGCAGGAATCTCACAAGGGTGGCCTGTGACCTTTAAGGCCCCTGACCCTTAGATCTCTGGTCTGGAGCCAACACGAGCTCCAGTTCCAACCTGTTGTGTCCCAGTAAGACGCCAAGAAGCCGGGGCCAGGGTCCCGCCTCCTGGGCCCTGCTACTGGTGGGTGAAAGCACAGAGCTTCCTGAGCCCTTGGTCTGACAGCACTTACGGATGCGATAATAACCTTGTCACAGAACCGAAGATTAGAGACCGTGGGAACACATCGGAAGCCACACCTCAGTGGCAAGGTGGCGCTGATCCCCGATCATCCTCCCTCTCATGTAACTCTGACTTTGGAATGTGTTATCATACTTCTATTTCAATGCGAGGCCGTCTCGTAGCCTAGAATTCCTTTCATATAAAACACGATGCCTCCACATCTCAGGACAAGCTCTGCTTTCTGACCGTGACCCCCAGCTACCCTAGTTACCCCAGGTACCCCGGGCGCCCGGACCGTCCACAGCATGCTCTGCCAGAGGGCTGGAGGCCCAAGCAGAGGCAAGTGACAGAAATATTAGGACACGAGAGGCATGCCTGCGGGTATATGTGGGGGAAACACACCAAGCTGCTGTCACGAAACTTACATAGGTGGAGCGGGTGGGGCGTCTGGGTGGCTCAGTTGGTTAAACGTCCGACTTTGACTCAGGTCACGATCTCACAGGTCACGAGTTCAAGCCCCACATCAGGCTCTCTGCTGTCATGCAGATCCTCTGTCTCCCTCTCTCTCTGCCCCTCCCCCACTGATGTACATGCACGCGCACGCACCCTCTCTCTCTTTCTCTCTCTCAAAAATAAAATAAACATTAACAAAAAATAAGTGCAGGGGGAGAGTCAGGTTCTGAACAAGACTGTCCAAATAAGGCTCCTTGGGTACAGTCTGCTGGGGGCTGATGGCTGAGCCAGCAAATAAACCGCTTTCCAAGAAACACACACACACACACACCTCTCCATTTCTCTGATTTCAGAATTTTTCCACAGGCTTCTTCAAACTGATGATCTGGTTCTAGAATGAATTAGGTGTGCACAATTAAGCATACGTTCGAACGTACTAAATGTACTAAACGTACTAAAATGATGCCTCACTGTTGGGGAAAGCTTCACAGGTCACTTACATGGCCCAAAGAGAACTGTTCATCGGGGACCCCTGGACATTCTCACGTCCGTTCTGCCGACCCCTGTGTTCCAGTATCCCAGGACATGCCCCTCAGTTTTGGCTTCCAGTCGACTTGTCCCCTGTGTGTATGTGACTGCGCCAATGTGTCAAAACCACGTGCAGCCTGACCTGGGGAAACGTCCTTTGGGATCCACCCAATCTCCGGAGCATGCGAAGCTGATTTTTCCAGAAGCTGACCCGGCTCACTCTCAGCTCCGGCTGCTCCTGCCGGTGGTTCCCCCACCCTCTCAGACAGGCCTCCTCCCCACGGCTTTCGGGGACGGAGGCGCCCAAGCAACCCTCAATAAAACCAAGTCACCGGGCATGAAGTCCTTACATTTCTTCAAAACGGACTACCTATAAATAGCAAATACACGGTGACAAGAAGGTGCAGGACAGCTCATGACGCCAGATGAAGATTCATCATCTGCTCATTGGTTAACCACTTGCCGAGCATCTGTCCCATGCCAGCCTGTCCTGGTCCCTGGGCCGTGACAACAACTAAGAGAGCAAGCACTGGTCCCCAAGTCAGGCAATGTGTAGCAGTGAAATGGGCGCTAATGAGAAAATCTCTCACTTGATTTCTGGGAGGCACGTGTGTGTGAAAGGACAGACACGGGGGGAGGGAGTAATTCGGGTACATCCACCCCTCAAACTTCTGAAGGGCACATTTGTTGCTCAGAGGAAACCAGAGCACAGGTTTTCTATCTGCTGAGTCTGAATCGTGGCCCTGGTGATGTCCCTGCTGTGGTCTCAGGCAAATGGCTCAACTCCTCCGACCCTGAGCTGTCCTATGTGCAGAGTGGGGGATCAGAATCCTCTCTCTCGGGGTCTTTGCTATGGACTAAATTGTGCCCCCCACCCAATTCGTGTGTCAAAGGGTTAATCCCCGATGCGGCTGTATTTGGAGACAGGACCTATAAGGAGGTAATTAAGGTTAAATGAAGTCATTAAGGGTGGGGCCCGAATCCAAGAGGATCAGGGTCCTTACAAGAAGAGATGCCAGACAGCATTCTCTCTCTCTCTGTCTCTCTCTGCCTTCCTCCTTCTCTCTCTCTTCCTTCCTCCTCCTCCTCTCTCTCTTTCTCTCTCCCCATCTCCTGTGAGAGCACAGTGAGAAGGCATCCATCTCCAAGCCAGGAAGGGAACTCTCACTCGAAACGGACTCTGTGGGCGCCTTGATCTTGGACTTCCAGCCTCCAGAACGTGAATTTCTGCCGTGGAAGCCGCCAGCCTACAGTGTCTTGCCACGGTGGCCCAAGGCGACCAACACAGTTGTCGAGAGGCACTGACAAGGCTCAGCATGGCCACAGCTCCGTGAGCAGAGTCATCGCGGCTCCTGGTTGCTCGTTATTCCCTGAGAGATTTTTCATGACGCCTTTCCTCCAGGGGGCTCTCCACGGACTCTGAAAACGTGGGGAGATTTCTGACAAAAATCCTTGCGGCGCTTAACTTTGACAAGGGTGACACAGGGCTCTGGGGCCTCCCCTGCTGGGGGATCGGGATATTCATGGGAGCCCTGTTAGAAAGAACAGCAGGGCTGGGAAATGCAAAGCCTGGCGGGGAGCTGGCCGGGGGGGGGGGGGGGGGGGGGGGGGGGGGGGGGGGGGGAACCAGAAGAACACAGAACGTTAATACTAGTTCTCTCCAAGCTTTGAGAGTAGGGGCGAGTCCTAGTTCTTGGTGGGCTCCCGTGTTTGCCACATCAAACATCCTCTACTTTTATGCAGAAGGGGAGCAAAGGCCTCATAAATGTTATCATAAACAGCAAGAAATGGAAGTCGGAGGGTCGTCTGAAGAGAGAAGATTCTCAGAAGAAACCAACAACCGCACAGCACACACTCAGGAGGAATACGGACGCCGGAAGACGATGGAACAGTAGAAGATCCCAAGACCATCCTTTCCACTCCCGTGTGGAGCTGTTTCCTTAACACTTTTCTTTTCCTCTGAGGAAGGCTTCCCCCCAAAGAGCCTCAGCCCCGGCGGGCCTTGAGCGGCAATGCCACAGCGCTCTGTGGTCACACGAATTGTACAGAAGGCCTCAGAGGCTTTGGCCTCCCTGAACGGAGTCAGGCAGACATCGCCGAAACCTGCGGAGCTCACATGACAAAATATGGTCTACCCTGAGGTGAGCGGACAGGGTGGTGACGAACGAAGGCAAGGCACGCACCGTCCCCTCACTGATGCCGATGAGCAGCTTTGGCTCCGCCGGGTAGGGAGGGCTGAGTCTGATGGATCCTTGAGGGGAAGATCATCAAGGGGACCCTTGACAACCGTGGGAGGTAACACTGGCGAGTCAGGAAGAGACTCAGCCTTCCCAGGGCATGGCCTGTTCTGTTCATCAAGGGGACCTTTTAGCTCCATTGTCTCCCAGCCAAGGGTGGGATTTAAGAACCCCGTGCCCTTCCCAAGTTTGAGAACTGGGAAATGTACTCCTCGGGTTCCTACTTCTCTCAGAGCAAACTACTCATGGAACCCAACTCCTAAGCAGTGTGACTTGATCTGTTTGCCTCCTCCCCATGTTGCTCTCTGGTGGGTGTTAACCCAGCTGGAGCGGCCCCTGTGTTTCCAGATCTTAGGAGACAGCACGTGCTGAGTCATACTTCCAGTCGTTTTTCGTTAGCCGAGTGTTGTAATTAAACATCGCAGCTGGCAGTAAGGGTTCGGTAAAGCATTCTGGGAAGCTTCGATTCATTGACCTACCTCTGATGTAGGCAAAGGCAGCCAGAGAGTTGCTAACAATAACTCCGTCTTTCCTCAGAACCCTCGTTTCGCTTGGGTCAAAGTTTATACCTGTTTCGTAGAAAAGAAATGCAAGGGCGATGAGTCACGGCCGTTCGCGGGATGCCCTCTGTTCCCAACCCAGGACTGCCATAATGAATAAAAAGTCACAGAAATCCAATAAATGGGCCTCTGACTGAATTACAAAAGACTACAAGCCAGCAAGAGCACTGAGTAAATAGTCTCTGAAAATATTAAGCCACAAGAGGGATTTAGAAACCCTAAAATGGGTGGGTTCCAACGTTAGATGCCACTCATCCACCCCACTGCGGCAGGGAACAAGCGGATTTTCCCGTCCTACGGGCAATGGCATTCGTCATGCCTCTGGGAGGCTTACTCACGGCATACGTACCTAACCACAGAGCTGCTGTCTGCACAGAGAAGAAGGGAGGGAGATTATGGAGGGAGATCGTGCGGGGCCACTTTTCTGGAAATGATAGCAAATGCAGGGCAGGTCTGATTGCAAATGCCTGGTTACACTTCTGTGATAGAGCTCAGCGAGCTC